CACGTAGGAGTGAGAAATAGTAAATTTTTGGCCACCCATCCCATGACCGACCACTGCGAAAGTTGCTGAACTTCAACGATCGCAGCCGAACGCGCTTACCACTTGCGCCATCGAGCTCTTCCGCTTGCATTGCTAGCATGAAAACTACAATGCGTCAAACATTTGTACGATGACACAAATCCCACTTAACTGACATTTTCGATATCATTTTATAAGTGTTATTATTTCTTCAGACGTTTTCACTTAATTTTATCTATTAACTCTTATTCAATCCATTTTGTCGATCTAATCTGGCAACTTTATTATAGATTAATAAAATTTACGTAAAAACCAAAACCGTAATGTTAGAAAGCTGACAACACCATGAAGATTTCTCACAAATCGAACAAGTGATGTTTAACTTCACCAACTTATGTTCTTGATACAAGCTGTTAGGTCATTGCACTGGGCAAGGTAGCGCGACCAGTTATATTTGATCCCTTCCCCCCCTTTCGTTGGCAACTTATTAAGATGCTTGGAGGAAAGAGCCTTGCGTAACGAAAGGTCTTTACAAATTGGTCGATGACTGAAGGAAGTGGACAGGTTGACATAATATATGAGATTGTTACGAGTTTTTTTTTCTTTTTCTTTATTTATCTCTTCTCTGTTTTAATGGTGATTTTTATTTGCTCTATTTTTTTAGGAAGCCGTGGAATGCTCCGATTGGTGCTTCGTTTAATTGGAATGTTTACTCTGTACGTGGATTATGATTCCTTGCTTTTGGAAGGAATATAGATTTTATAATGTACCTTGTTTACGAACAATCCTTGATTGAATTTGTTTTGAGACACGCGAGATTTAGTAGGCCTACAATACAAATAAATATCAAAAATTAAGGTAGTGTGAAATAGAAACAAATAAAGAAAAAGCCTTGTATATTAGTTACTAGTGTTCAAAATAGCTGCGCATATCTTAACTTAATAATCTTATATAATCTGATAAAAAATAGGACAAACTTGGGAGTGTGTTTCTGTCGTTCCAAGGTTCCACCAAGGTAGAGGACAGTAGGCAACATGCATGATACTCAGATATGAGAAGAAGCGTCTAAAAGTATAGCAACGGCTTACCATCAAATGGGCTATATGATTGCATACACTTCAAATGCTGTGTGGTCTATTTATTATTCATATTAAAATAGATCATCAGTAATGTTTGTCTCCGGAGTTTTTTCTTAGCAGTTGTGTTTAGAGAAAATAGGTGTTTGAAATTGTCAATGAATTCCAACTAGTTGTTGGACTTCCTCATTATTTTTAGTGAGTCATTCGTTACGGACAAAATTGCCATGTAAAAATGACTAAGCTAGGAATTATTGATGACTAGAGTTAGTAAACGTCTTTGTGAACATTTTAGATTTCAAAATATCTATATGGAGCCAAAATGGGTTTTTTTTTCAGAAAACTATAGGTAACTTAGATAAAATCAAAGAGGAATTTTGATTTAATCTTAACCAAATACAGATATCCTAGATACCCTCAAACCAGTATATCATGTAGTTTTTAGAGATTTCCACAGAGATGTTACATTTTCCCGGGATAAATAATATCGTAGGTGTGTCTCAATGAAGGTAAATTATATACTGTGTGTACAAATGTACTTGGATGACATGTTTTGTTCAGCTGTTTGTGTGATTGAGCAACAAACATTCATACTTTCACATTTGTGATATTAGCAGGATGAAATCCGTCAGTGGCAATCAGTTTTTTTTTATCGTGCAGTGGTATGTACTATGTAGTATAACATTTTTTGTATTAGTTTCATTTTATTTTTACTCGCCTGTTATATCCTATTTCGTTCGCCCTGTGAAGATTTGGCAACGCAGCTTTGTCTATTGCATCTTAGTTATGTTATACATATAATAAAATAAATCGATCTTTTCCACACCAAAAGAATACCTCAACAAAATAATTTAATGTTTTTATTGACAACCAAAATTATGCAGCTTCCTACATTTTTTAATAATAATCTTAATCAAAGTCATAATAAAGACGAAATCAGCTTACTGTAGATCCACACAGAAACTTTTTTTAATAGTGACGTACAATAATCATCTTTGTGTCCTCTGTAATAAAGGCGCTATTATCATGATAAACAAAGCCCTATATATAAATAGAACAATATTTAGATTTCCCAACTTTTAACAAAAGTGTCTTTCATTTGTTTACGTATAAAGGAAAAGTAGTGTTCTTTGTTCTCTCACAACTCCTAATAGGATCTTATTGTTACTGCTAATAAGCTAACAACATAGAAATAGCACTATACGTAAGGCGTATTACAAGAAATTTGCCTATTGCGTTGTAACAATATTGTTGGCTATACTGTACCGAACAACTCGATTCCGACGAGTTATGCAGTAAGCTCACTCAGGCCCAGGTAACACATTGAAGTGAGACAAAGCATCATTTTAACACCGGCATTTAGAGTTTCCGACATTGGTCCGTCAAATCGATACAATAACCGCTATACTATTAAAACATGACGGCCATTTTAAGTGTTAATACCCAAACGGTTCAAATAACGCAATTGGCGGCGCGACCGCGGTCTAGAACGGGAAAAATTAGCCTAAAAACGTGTGCAATACGTTTATGAAACATTTGGTGAGCGCGCCGCGACGAATCGGTTAGGCTTTGAGTCGGGACGCGCGAGTCGTAATCTGCAATCAAAATGGAAGCCATCGCCGCCATCTTAGGTTAGGTCCGCGCTCGGCCCGCTTCGGGAATTTGGGAAATTGCTGTTTTTTTTGTTGTAAAGAGAGCAGTATATAAGAGGTTGGTAGGCAGAGGACAGCGGTGCGGGGAAGGGGCGATCTCGCACGGCAAAGCGGTGTGAAGGGAAAGAACAGAACGGCACACGGGATTGTTGGTGGCGCGACGCGTCTGAAGATATCTCCAAATCGTCGCGACGGTGTAATACAGAATTTTGTCTTAAATAGTATCTCGGGAAATATCGGGTTGTACTTTTAACTAAAGGGCTACAGATAGATTTGAAATCCCTCAAAGTAGATAAAATAGATGATGGTCATCTTTGTTTGTTATCAATACATTATAGTCCCCAGTTCCAACCAGATACAATACAACTAATGCCATATCAGAAGAAATAGCAAAATAGCTCTCGCAAATGTTTCGATTATCAAAATATGAGTAAATTTTATTAAACAATTTCACCTATTACAAAAACCTTCTCCAGATTTCCTCATCTAAATGTATAATTTAAAATATATGACAAATTTATTTGATAACGAACAATTTAATCGAGAAGTTACTGTTAACAATTTAATCAGCCAATTATGTAATAGTCTCTAACTTTCAATTACTTTCAAAGAGCCTTTACTATGTTTCCATATCTTAAATAACATGAATTGTCAAAAAAGAGTAATATATTAAAGGGATGACCACATATTCAACATGTACGTTATGTATTGTTAAAAAAATTAAGCAATAATGCTGCATTATTCCATTATGGGGATCCACTGGATGCGGAAAGCTCGGGATCGTTATGTTTGGAGATCCCTAAAGGAAGCCTATGTCCAGCAGTGGACAGCTATCGGCTGATTAAGATGATGATGATTGCTTCATTTTTTTAATGTGCTTTATTAATGCACACGTAATTGATATACTGAACCATACAATTAAAATAGTAGCACCAAAAAAACGTAAGACGGGCAAAACTAAATGGGCAAGTCTCGATAACCTTCGACAAAATTATAACCAAATTATTTAAACGGTACCTACTGTCCTGTAGATTTCTGCTGAATCTAAATCTCCATATAAAAAAATATATAGTAAAAAATTTAGTTCATTTCCAACAGATGAACATAACATTTCCGTTCTTTTTTCTAATGCAATTAATATAATAGTAACATATAATTCTAATATTTTACCGTTATCTATCTAACCTCTTCTGTCTGCATACATAAGTCGGATTGAATATGTAAGTCTTCTATCAACAAATAGCAACGGCCCTTAGTAAGGCCTTTGTGGCACTCCTGAAATTATAATGTCAAAGTCAAAGTCAAAATTTCTTTATTCATTTAGGTACAATTTGCACACTTATGAAAGTCAATTTGATGCCATCGGTTCAAGAGTCTACCAGAAGGCCTTGTCTGAGAAGAACCGGCAAGAAACTCAGCAAGTTTTGTCCTCCCTTTACACTATCTATTTTTATTTATTTGGAAAGAGTCATAATCCACATCAGGTCTTTAATAGTTTAATTAATTTTAAAAGTATAAATAAATAAAAGACCAGTTGTTACTACGAAATAAAAGAATATATGTAAAAGATGTGATCCATGACGTCTTTCCTTACAATATTGTCAATTTAGAATAATAAGTATACGCTTAATTATATCTTTCTGGATTTCAGTGGAGAATCGAGCACATTGGAATGTATCCAAACCTTTTTATCGTCTAAATATTGCTGAACTTTATAATATGCCTTTTTCATTAAATTTTTCATAGGTATTATAAATTAATTTTTCTAGGGAATAATGACCTGCCAAAATAAAAACGACCTAAACATGGTTTTGTGTTTACACCAGATTATTTTTATCATCGTACCATAAGTGCCAAGATTATAATCGATAAAACTATGTAGTAAAAATATCTAAGTGAAAAAAAATATTATAAATATAGTAAGTATTATTCAAATAATGATTTGGACCAAAAAGTAATCAAAGCGGTAATAATATCTGGTATTGATAAAGATAATACGATAAAGCAAAGAAAAAGATTAACAACATCCTAAAGAGCCTACATCTCTGATCAATGAATTATCTTCTTTCATTCAAATTACACTACCTACGCCACAACTTTTGAATTGTTTTGCATCTCTATTGTTCGCTCACGCATTTACACGGACAAAAGCTCGACACAAAGGATCTGTCCCGAGATCTGTCCGCGTTCTCTCAGTAACCCGTGTGCCGGCTACCTATCTTTCATTGCACGTACGCGGCGCGGGGGGAGGGCCCGCCGCGCGGCATACGCGGAGTCGGCCGGAGCCATCTTGCTAGTGGTCGTTCCAATGCTCGCGTCTCCGCGACACAAATCGCTCTTAATTCGCACTAATTAACCAATAAACCATCAAAAAACAATCGGACAAAGTGACATTACCCATAACCAAGTGCAAAATCAGTGTACGGGCGCGTTGTTGACGTGAATTTGTGTGTTTGTTGTTCTATGTGTGCATTCCGACTGTCCTAGGTGAGTAGTCACTACTCTTTGTGCGCGACAATTATCATTCTGATCGATTCGGCGGCGCGGGGGTGTGCACTCCGGGCTCGTTTTATATCTTTTGTTGTTTTGTAACGCTCTGAAATCAATAATTTTAGTGGCAAGCCTCGCTGACCCGCGCTCGTCCTCAGCCGTCGTGTGCTAGCTTGATTTATTCGCGAATCAATCCAGTTTATGAATGTGAAAGTACATTACATAGTGTTTGAACTGTTTGTATGACGTGAATTAGTGTGTGTACGTGTGATAATTTTCACTTGAGGTAGGTACTGTAGTCATTATTGGCATTTCCTACGTTCCGATCACCTCTATGTGCATTTGCACCAAAAGCGTGCAGCTTTCTTTCCGATTCTATTTATAGAACACACTGAGAGCGTGTCTGTAATTTATGTAGCTGAAATGAATCACATTATGTAGTTTATCGAAGAACTCAACGTTTGACCAAAATATGTTCACACCTTTATTCAATATTATGTATTGTTATGATTCGAATAGCTGCATAAATTCTTAAAAAACATTGATGAACTTTGCAATATTTGCTATACCTATGTTCTTTATTTGCCCGGTACGAGCCATAAACAATAACGGTATAACTTCTATGTTTGTATGTAAAATTTTGTTTATTTGCTTATCCGAATAACAATAGGTTATGCTAGTGAAAAAATTGTTGCTATTACATTCTACATTATGTTCGCTTTAGATCGATTTCGATAATGGCAGGAAACTGAACTAGGTACCTATATCATGCATGATGTAATGCAAGCTATTGTCGCCTAATTATACAGTAATCTTCTTTAACTACAAATAGACTTTATCCTGGCTGTTCATTTACTTGTGTAAGATCAACCGAACTATCCAAAGTTCTCACATCTTATTTCTATTACAAAAACGTCAATTACAATTCCATTTCCTAGTTAACTACATTGGATAATAATAATTTTATTTACATTCGTTTCCACTTTTTAACTAAAGCCTACGCAAACACGCAAAAAAGTATACAAAGAATGAGACAAAACTAGATACCTATTACGTTGGTGTTTTAACGGTTTTAGAAAGTCAGATGTAAGATTACTACAAAGACATCTAAAATGGCGCCCGTTGCGATTAACTTAGAAATATAAAACCTATAGGGAAATTTGTTTGGTCTTCTTACATATACAATGTGTAATTTGATTGCTAATTATAGCTAGGTATAATGTATTCGTATCGCGAGATAAGCAACTGCCTACCTGATTAACGTATTTAATAATTAGTATTAACAATCAAATAACTTAGTCGTTACCCGTTTGATTAATTTATAGATACACGAATATTAATTAGGAAATCTGATTCAAATAATAAATCCTATTTTTAATCCCTTAAATTAAGTTTAAAAAAACAATTATATTAAAGATACACTACCGACTAGGATATATCAAGAAAGATTTATCTGAGATCGTGTACATTCGATTGTATTTTCAAGACACCTTGCGCTTAAAATATCACGGAAGATATTTTATTTTAAAGTAAATTTAATTTAATCACAATAAAATAATTCGCCGTGCCGATCAATAATGAAACGAAAAAGGTGTCGCTCAACAACCGATACTAGTATTGAGCTATTATATTACATGCTTTTCTGTCTAGAAAATTATCTTAATTCTTTGGCCACTCCCGGGAGAGTGCGGGAGCCTTTCTTTCCAGCGGGTCGGCGCATCTCCTCTGCAAGCAGTCATTCGGGGAAACGTACCTCCCTAATTTGCTCGTTCCTGTCGCGACAATGTCCGCAGGTTTCATGTCTCTTTTTTACCTCCATCATGGCAGCCCCTAAAACAAAGTTTGGATGTTCAGCGGTGCACTGCACGCCCCCCACGCCTTCAACGCTTTCAATAATTTATAATACCTACGAATAGTGTGGTAACAGCTTCATTCTTATACTTTAATTATTAAGACAACTTATAAATCGAATTTTTTACCTTTAAAGAACGAATTAACGGGACTGAACCCCTGGATAACTTTAGATATACATAAGCGATTCGCGTAGTCACTAAGCTAAGTTAACCTTTTTCAGTTTGAAAGAAATGTCAAGTAGATATACTTCCATTCTGTAAACATTAGCATGTAGCGTCATCATTAACCTTTACAGAATAAAGTTATGTAAATAAAAGGAGACCAATAAAAAAGCCTTGTGCGACTCTTCATCTTAACTGACAAATAAAAAGACTTCCTTATCTCATTATCACCCATTAAGTGGCTGATAATATACCTCACTCCTAGGGCACAGACCTTCTTTGACGGAATAGGGAAAAATGGACAAGCATGCACATTGGGACTAGCCCTGTGCTCTTGAACTTCGTCTTTTGTATATGACATGATGAGGATGAACTATATCTAACTATAGGTTTCAGATGAATAATTTAGTTTTAAAGAATTATTTGTCACAATTATTAGCCGTTCTATCATCGTGTTTCGGTTGTCATGCTAAAGTGGTTGGTGGATGGGGTCTTGTTGAGTCATCACATCAGCTCAGTATTTTACAGGTAAAAAAAACGGACATGTACTGTTCACATGCGATTAGGGTTCCTATTTAAAAATTTGAAAAGTCCTGACAAGAAGCCGGACATTTCGATAAAAGTCCGGACATTTTAGTCACAAAATGCAAACTTCACCCACTTAGTTACAGTGATATTTTACGCGTGGTGGTAGCTGACGCTCGCATCGCGAGAGGGGTCTCGTTGATTTTTAAAGATGATTTATATTTTGTTTTAAATTGATGAGAACTTAATAAACATTATTTAAGTAATTTGATGTAACTTAATAAGTACCTAATTAAAAAAATCCGGACAAATTAAAAAGCCGGACAAAGGGCAAAAAGTCCAGACAAATCCGGACGGATGGTAACCCTACATGCGTTAGAAGAGAAACCTACAAAAATGTGTACACGTAAAAGTCCTTTATTTGATACCAGCTATTTTTATTTTATTGCTTTTATGTTTGTCATCTTAGTTTTTTATAGAAATATTTATTTTGAAAAAAAAATACTGTAAAACAAACTGTAAACATTGGAAAGGTAAGGATTGTTGATAAAAACCAAGCCTGTGTTAATAAACCACTTAGGCACAGACCTACCAAACGTTCAGGTATTGTAAAATATTGGGCAAAAATAAATATTCTCTACTTAAATTGTTTCGAAAAAAAAATTATAGCTTAATAAAAGAAAAAAAATAACTGAGCTCAGGCTCAAATCACCTATCATTTTGTGTCGACCCTAAGACCGTTACGGTTCTGCTACTTCTGTCTCTTGCAGAGAGTTACAAAATTACGTATACCTTGTGTCAAATACTGTTAAATTTTGGTTACATCGAGTTTTCACTTCAAAGTAAATATATATAGATAAAGATATTCAGCAAGTTAGCTAACCTAAATAGTTGCTCATCAATAACCACATTCTTATCTCACTTTCAAGAATTGCAGATTGCAAACGAAAAATGTTCAGCAAATATTTAAAAAAGATTAGTCCATATTTTTATCATGTCCAGTTGAAAAAAAAGCTTTAACTTACGGAAATGAAATGTAGGTATAAGACCATCTATTAAAATACGTGCAAGTTATAAATAAAGATTTCGGGTAAAGTTTATATCTTTGTACGGACTGAGAGTGAATGAAATTAAAAAAGAAACTAAAAAACTTTTTATAAATACAATAAAAATATAACACAGGTAGAAAGTTAATGTTTTTTTATAATTAAGGTGGACAATTGACTCGATCCCATCTGATATTAAGTTCCGGTTGAGTCCAAATGCGAAGATAGCTGGTGCAGCAGTTTTACCTGCCACACCAGCCATCCTCACCTTGCTGGTTTGCTGAAATGCTTCTTCACGCCTCTTTTTAAGGCACCTATACATGTTGGCCAACCAACATATAGACTGCATATTTGTCTTGCCTTGTCATCGCTCGGAATCGCTTGCCTACTTTTCCGAGGGAAGCGCCAATGTGTAAAACCTCATTTAGCGTCGCTGTGCTCGCCAGCATTTGTCTCACATCGTCCATATTAACTAATAGCCCACCAAAGTATGGGTAGTTCCACAAAGGCCAATATGATCGATATAAGCCACATGCATAGTCTTCTTCTTTACCCAACGTTTAGCTAGACACTTGTATCAGTTTGCCTACGCTCGAGTTGGGTGAAGCTCAGCTAACATGTATTGGCGCAACTTTAAATGGACCCCGGGAAGAAAGAATTTTCGTGATACTGAAAAATCAGACTAATTTCAATATCTAGGTACTTTAATTATTGTAAGCACAATTTAAATGTTATTATAAATATTTATATGAAACATACCTAACTTCAATAACTGCAGTGCTTTTCTATAAGAACAAACTCGCTTTTCACTGTGGAATTCGTCGGTGTGATTTGGAATTTATTTGAAATTCTTGTTGATTCCGAGGTGAAAAGTATGTTTTTACAGAATAACAGTGCTGCTTTTATAAAACTAGTCTCACATATTGATAGTGGAATCCTAAAAACTGAGTTTTAATGAAATGCAATTATAAATAATGATTACAAGGAAACAGACACTTAAGATATATTTACCGAGGTCTCGGTAGTTCTAATTAACAATTCAAATGATTCTGGTATAAAATGTTAATGTACAATTTAAATAAAAAAAAACTTAATTTGTGTTCAAGGCAAGATTTTGTATGAAAGTATTACTATAAAATATTCTACCATAAAATATTTTTTAAACTATTCAATCGCTAAGCCGGTCATCACAACAGAAAAATCTTTCAGATCATCCCAAAAAAAATTGGACAACTTTTTAATCGCAGCGAAATTTTCGTTTACTTTTCCTACTATCCGACTTCCTGCCCACTAATAATAATATAAATGCAAACATTTGTATGATGTTATTCCTTCACGCAAAAACTACTGAGCCGATTTGGAGGAAATTCGGTATGCATGCATATACCCTACCTAGTTTATGACCTGGATT